TTTCCCTGCCCGGGACAGGCCCACAGCCCGGCCCCGTGCCTCTTTCCCTGCCCTGGATGGGCCCACAGCCCTGCCCCGCGCCGCTCTCCCTGCCCGGGAGATGCCCTTTTCCCAGGGAACGGGAGCTGCTCCCTGAGGAATTCGGCAGAAGCGGGGACAGCCGGCATTCTGCGTTCGGAGAAGCCCGTGTCCCCGATATCCGCGGCCAAGTGACATCAGCAGGGGCCGGGAAGCAGTCGCTGCAGCGGCTGCATGACCCCACAGCCCTCTGCAGAGAGGGCAGCGATTTCTGCTCTCCATCCCTCCTTGAGCACAGACAGCACATCTGTAAATTACAGGCAGCGGTTTTAATTAGCAGGCTTCTCTGCTGCTAGTATTTTGCTGGCCACACTGCAGAAAGATTCACCTAAATGGCAAACTGACAGGCTGCCTGTCACAAAATGCAGTAAAAATAGACACAAGGAAGACAAAGAAGGCCTGGAGAAAAGGAAATGAAAATGTTTTGGCAGCGAAACAAGATTATTAATGGACTGAGGGGGCAGATTGTTTTTTTGCTGAAATCACAGTCATATTTTGTATATAAATATTGGTTCTGTGCATGGTGTTGGGACAAGTAAAGAGCAAAGATAGGGAGCCATGGGGGGTTGCCATGCAGGTACCCAGTGGTTTCAGGTGCTTTTTTTGGCCTTCTGACACCCCTGCCAGCCGAGCCCCTGGGGATACACCAGCCTCAGTGAGCACTTTGGAGCCAGATGCCTTCATGTGGTCACAAGCCACGCAGGTCCCACTGTCAGGCTGCACCCCTAGGACAGGAGCCAGGTGCAGGCAGGGCTAAAGGTGTGTCTGAAGCACATTCAGCTGGTCAGATGGGAATTCAGGTCCCACCTCATCATCACATACCAGAGAAGACCTGAAAGGTGAAGGGATGAGGAGGTCCAAGGAGACAGTCCCTGGAATCCCTGTGGCTCCTGTCCTCAACTGATCTGATTCCTGCATTGTGTGGGCCAGGAGCTGGCTCAGTCAGTTCTTTGTTCTGCAGCTTTGCTGTGGGTTTTGCTGCAGCATCCCTGGGCCTCCCAGCTTCATCTTAAGCAAAATGATGAGTGACTGTCTCATGCTCGTTTCCTCCAACCCTCCCTGGGGAAAGGAGCCTGTGCAGCACTGACAGGTTTTATAAGGCCTGTAGTGATTTTTTGCCTTCTTATATTTGCGCATGACGCTCCATTTTTATGCAGAAGAATGGAAAGGAAAGTTCATTGGCTTGTGACTGCAGGTAAAGGAGTGCAGGGCATTCATCAGTGTCACCTGGAGCAGGGTTTTCCCCTTTCTGACAGCACTTCACCATGTTTCTCAGTAAGAATTTGGTTTTTGCTCCCCACCATCAGATTGTTGAAAGCTTCAGTGGAGGCAGGACGCTCTCTGCAGGGAGTACTCAGAGCTCTGCAAACCCAACAGCCACATTTTCCTTCAGGAGAGGGAGAGGCAGCAAGCTGCCCCTCCTGCTCAGAGCTGCTGGGCACCACCATGGCTGAGCCTCGCATCCCCTTCAGTGCAGAGCACTTGCAGAATAAATTCAACAAGCCTTCATCATGGTGTGAATTCTCTGAGTAGGCTGCAGAGACGTGCTGTGGCTGTCGCTGTGTGTGGAGAGGCGACAGATGGCTCTCACACATTTGCTCCTGGAAGTGCTTCCCCAGTGGCTGGATCCTCCCTTGCTGATCCACCCTCTCGGGGTCTTAATTGCTATTATGAATTAAATTTATTGTGTTATATTGATGCCATTTTCTGTACAAAGAAACGGGAAGACATTCTGCACTGGGAAAATACACTGTGAGAAGCCAATTTTCACTGAAGGAACCACAGCCTGAAACCTGGAGCCTGTGACATCTTATTCTAGTCTGCAGAGCCCCAGAGTTTGGTCCTGTACAGCCAGTCAGAGGCTCTGGGCTGAATTTCAAACATGATGGGCAAGTGAATTACTGAGTGAGCAATGTCCTGTGGTCTGCCACATGGCCATGGTCCCTGCAAGAAACACAGACACACCTGGTGAGAGGAGCCCTGGTGTCACCCTGGGATCAGGGATGGAGCTCCTGCTCTTCACACCATGCAGTGACAGTTTCCTACATTTTTATGATGATTGTTCACTTTTTTATCCATCTTCTCTTTGGCATTCGTCTCAGCGTGCAATGTCTTATTTCCCAGCCTGGGACAGAAATAAGGGACACACTTTAGTGTCTCACCAGATCTAGTCTTAAATATCTTTTTGGACTTGTCAAATATAGGAAAGAGCTAGAAACCATCCAGGCCAAGCTGTAGAGTAACTAACTATGAGTTGCTAGAGTTGCTAACTATGGACATGTGGAGTTACATAATTCAGCCCAGAGGTGTTATTTGATGCTTTCCCCTAGAAGATACAGAGGTAGAAAAGCAGTGGAGTGTCATAGACAGGAAGAAGAATTATAAAAGAAAGGCCTTATGAAATCAGGCCTTGCTCTGCTAAAATTGCCAAAGCTGGCAATTTTAGCAGAGCAAGCTAACAAGCAAAGTGCAGCTAACAAGGAATTTGCAAGTTCCCATGAACATATATGCCCAGGTTGTTGAATAGATCCTGCAAATGAGAAGTTCATTTAACACAACAATCTATTCTGAGGGTGAAAAACAAATACATCTGTGTAAACAATGAGATTTGTCCCATGAGAGCCCACAAAGGAAGAATGTAAACATATCTAGAGAGAGAAAATTTGATAGTCATGTACATTAACCCTTACCATCCAATGAACCGAGTTTTGCTGTATTGCTGACCAATTAGGTTTAACACAGTGCCTTCTGATATTTCCTACAAATATGAGCTTGGTGAATAAAGAATTGGTTTTCTGAATGAAGAAAATGGAGTCTGGGCTGATTTATTCCAGCACAAGGTGTCCCCGAAGACGCGATCGACAGGAGACACAAAAGAAGGAGGTGAAACGAGCCAAGCCAGCCGCGGGACAGGATTTAGAGATGGAATATCCAAAGATGTGAAAGGAAGATTGCAGCGAGAGCAGGCACAGCACACGAACGCAGCACTGGCCGCAGGATCAGAATTTCAAGCAGCGAATATGCAAAGCAGCAAAAGGAATATGCAAAGCAGCAAAAGGAATATGCAGAGCAGCAAAAGGCTGCGGCTACGGTCAGCCGCGGGATCGCTGTGCAACAAGCAAAGACAAGAGCCGGTGAAGCGGAGCCGGGGAGTGCACGGGGCTGCAGACGGCGTGGAACGCACAGAAACGAGCACAACACCTGGGAGAAAGGGAGCAGCCGGTGAGAACAGAACTGCGAGCTGCAAACGCCGTCCTGGACCGCGGGAGATGCGCGGTCCTGAACCGCGGAGGATGCGCAGCCGAAAAAGAGCCGTGGAAGGTGAGGAAGCTGCAGAGGAGGGAAGTGCTCAGCGAGTCGTGGGGAAAACTGTTGTTAAAAACGACAGCGGGCTCCCGGTACTAAAGTGATTTCAGCATTTATTATAAGAAAAAGACTTAAAGGCCCGAGCAGAGCGATCCCGTCGAGGATGCTGCAGCGCCGGCGCTGGGGCTGCTTCAGCAGCGATGTCACTGGTGTCCTGGGTGGAGCGGCACAAGTTCAGTGGGTCCGAAGTCCCCTTTTTATCCTGTTTTTATGTCCGTTTAGATTGATTTCTTTTTGGGTCCTTCATTTGCATGAAGGTTTTATGCGCTTGATTGTCCCATTACAGCTCTGTCCAGGCTGGCTCGTGGTGCACTTTATTTAGATGTATTATGGTACGTTGAGTGCCATATTTCTTACAACAACCCTTTTAAACCCCTTTTACCATAACCAAACTAACAGTACATGCTTAACAATTATCAACTATTTTACAACAGTTTCTAACCTACTTTTAACTGTGTCAAGAACAGTGGTGAGTGAACTTTCACCTGCAAAGGTGTGGGGAAACAAACGGCAGGATAGAAGCGTGACGTGGAAATGAATTCCGTACCCGTCACGGAAAGAAAGCCAAACAAAGTTAGAACAAAATATTTTTGGGAAAAGGAGAGATACAGCACCATAAGTATGTGCTGATACCTTTGCTACTGTGTTGTGTGGTCCAGGGGCTGGTCACTGATTCGGCAAATGTATTTAGTGGAGCCTGAGGCTACACTCCGGTTCTGGGACAGTGCCTGTGTGTCTGTGTACGTGTGTCTGAGTGTGTGTGTGTCTGTGTGTCTCTGTGTGTCTGTGTGTCTGTCCCTGCTGCGGATGCTCGGGAGCGCACGGCCCCGTGTCGCTCATTTTCCCTCCTACCCCAGGGGCGGCCAGACTCAAACCGCGTGAAGAAACAAACAGCCACGAGCTCGGAACCAGAACTTAGTTGTGTGCCCATGCAAAATTTCCTCCGGCAAGATTAAATTACCCTCCCACCGACGGCGCGGGGCCGGCCGGCTGCCGCTCCATGGGGAGCCGTGGCGACTGCGGGGGCTGGCGTGGCGAGCGGCTGAGCGGGTCTGGTCCTGCAGCAGAGCTCCTAAACTGCAGCAGAGCTCGTAAACTGCAGGACCAGCGGGGCCCGACAGTATTTTTGGAGCCAAGCTTCATTCCGGACCCAGCGGCTCCCCCGGGGCTGGCTCCTCTGTCTGCGGTCCCCTCAGGCTCCAGACCGGGAGAGCCGCGGGCGCTTTGTGCCTTTCTTATATATATATATATATATTAGTTGGCCAAATAAATGTAGGATTTCAGTCAGAGCTCCTTCAAGGACTTAAAGAGTATGTGTTTTATCTATGCATATGTTACATATGTGTGTATATATGTGCCTGTATTTGTACACATACACACACATTTACAAAACTCCAGTAACTGCTAGACTGCTCATGTCTGCTCAAAGAAGTTTTCACAAATTTCTTCAGAGCACAAAAAGGTTTCTGCTATTTCAGACGTGCAAAAATAAGAGTCTAGAGAGTCGTTAACAACTGTGAGAAAAGCCTTGTGTACTGGAGTGATGCCTCCTGTGATTACTGCCCAAGGAAAGAGGCCATGGGGTCATCAGGTCTCTGTCTCTTCATTCTGTAGGCCTCCATCTCCTCTTCTGTTGGCTCCCTGGTTTCATACTGGCTGTTGTATGGTCTCTTCCTCTCATCTAACTGCATGATTTTTTTGATGTGGAGAAGTCGAGCCTCTTCAGCGTTCAGAGCCTTTTTTAGTTTTTCTTGCTTCTTTTTCTCTTCACCCTCACTGTCAGAATTCGAGCTCTTCTTGTGCTTCTTCTTTTTCTTCCCTTTCTGTTTCTCTTGGTGGATCTCCATCAGTGTTTTGGGTTTTGTCGTGTGTTCTTCCTCCTCAGGCTGCTCTTCCATAAACTTGCCTCTGTATCAGCAATTTCTTTCCCAGTTTCCCCTGTACAGTAGGAGTACTTGACAAAGGAGTGACAGCACTTGTAACCCCACTTACCTTTCCAGTAGGAACCCCAAGTGCATGTATGGTTGTTGATCTTCACATCCTCTTCATACTTAGAACAAGCAATACCTTTCTCCTGTCCTTTGATGACTGTTCCACACCTAGAATACTCCACATAATCTTCTGTTTGAGCTAACAGCAGTTCAGCTGGGGGGGCATCTAAATGTTCCTGTCCTCCATACTTCTCTAGGATGCTTTCTTTCTGCTGGGCCTTGAAATCTTCTTTTTTCTCCTTGAAAGATTTATAAAGGAGCTCTAATTTTGTAGGCTCTGCTTGAAGATGAACTTCAGAGCCTTTGTCATAAGCCTCCCAGGCAAAGAGCTGAGTCTGTGCCATTGAAATGGCATCGCCTGTGTAGCGAGCAAAGTTGTCACCTGCATAACCAACTTCATCTGGATTCTTGCCTGTGTTGGCATAAGGGTTCTCCCTCATTGCTCTTGTTTTGGGATCATAATAAGCAGAGTTTGGATCTAGGTTCCTCAAGTATTTAGCAATATCTTCCCGAATACGTAAATTTCGGGCTGTGATGCGTCTTTTGGAGTCAAAGTTCTGCCCAGGCATATCAATGTCTTCTGCGTATTTGTCTTCATCTTCACTGCTATAATCTCTTTCTGTCTGTGAATTTGATTCCTCTTCTCCCCTCTGGTGTCTTGGGGAGTTCACTTGCTCCAGCTTCCCTGATGCCAACTCCTCCTGAAGCTTCTGTGCTTTCAGTGCACATTTGGCCAAATCAGCCTTGGAATATTCCTCAACAATTTTCATGTGCTCCTCTGGGTCATAACCATTCCACCGGTCTCGCTTCCCATCATAACCAAACATCAGCTGAGGCTGCACGTGTTCATCTGGAGCAATATTCATGCCTGTGTGTTTGGCTCCAGCTTTCCTGGGTCTCTCCATGCAGTCTCTCTTTCCGTGTGTCAGTGCCCCGCAGTTCTCACAGGCTCCTTTGCGGTACCTCGTGGCCACAGGGTGCTCCTGAACTCCTCGTTTGTACCAATCCCCAGAGGAGCTGTACTGCTTCTGCTTCTCTGGCTGAGGTCTCTGATGCTGCAGTGTGGGTCTCTTAGAAGGATCTATGTACCATGGTACTGAGGAGATGTACTGAGGAATGTGAGGGTTGATATCTTTTCCTTCTTCATCCACTTCAGCAGGTGCATTTCCAAGTTTTCTCTGCTCTTCTAATTCTTTCTTTTTCCTCCAGTCTTCCCTTGTCATCTTCTTTGGTTCCTCCAGGCTCACATTATTTGCCACTCCTGAACCTGAGAACATTTTGGATTTCTTCCTGCCAGGCCACAGCACCACCCCACAACACCCCTCTCCCCTGTGAGCCTGTGGCTCTCCTCTTCTCCCAAGATTATTTACAGCAATTAATTTTAAGTTCTTAACTATGTCCTATAACCTTGAATTTTATCAGCAGCAGTTCTTTAGATTATAAATAATTAGATCACAGCAAAAAAACTTTACAGCTGAAGCAGACAAAGTCAGAACAGGCCCTGACAGCCCATGGGTCAGGGTGGTGACACAGTCCCATTCACTGGTGGCTGCAGCCCTCCTGCAGTGCCAGCTGTGGTTCTGGTAGAACAGGGATCCTGGACAAGGCTGGAGTGTTCCTCTGAAGGTCCAGTGAAGGCCTGGAAGTGTCTGATCTTCCTCTGGGAATGCAGTGGGAAAAGGCAGCTGTAGTGTTCCAAGGCTCAGATTATACCCAGGTAGGAATGCTTGGCTCCTCCCCCTGGGCAGAGCTTCTCACAATGGGATGAGGGAATTTTATCAGCCATGCAGTGACACTCAATGGCCCATTAACAGAAGATAATTCATCATTAATGGCCCATTAGCAGAAGAGATCTCCTGGAGGGAGGATGAGTCCTGGAAGAGATAAAGAAAACTGCCCCACCTGGTGCTAACAGCTGGTGATAGAATATGTACTCCTGGTTACATCTTGCACTGCAATCTAAGACAGTTAAATATCACTTTTCTGCATTGTAAGATGTATAGTTGCTTTCTTTTAAGAAATGACTCTGACTAAAACAGCTGTGATGAAACACTGGTAAACACCTGTTTCTGGATAAAGAAGGTACAGGGTATTCACCCTTGGTTTTATCAAAAATTCTGTTGCTTGTTACAATCTCTGCTGTTTTATCTTCCACAGAAGAGTCAGTTATGATTCTACATTATGGCTGTTATTGATTCTGAGCTGTTTCGGTGTTTGTTTCATTTTGCTGTCATAGTTACATGACTATTTAGAAAGGTGTTATCTCAACTTCCTAACAACATGGTTACATGGTGTATTGATTACATGATGTGAATTTACTGATTTTCTAACAGGCATCATTCATAAGATGTTATTACTGTAGTTATAGCCAGCTTCATATATGCTTTAACATCTCTTTGTGTAATTATCTAAAATACACATGTCATTTCAGGATCCTTTCTTCTTCTCTAGCCACTTATGCATCTCTTAGACCAGCTGAGCTCTCTGGCTGGTCCCTGCACTGGCGCTATGGTTTGACCCCATGCTGTCTCATAATTTTAAGTATTTTTCAGAGTTCCAAGAAAAGCTACCTGAGCTTCATTGAAAGCTTTTTCCAAACTGCTAGTCTAGTGGTTTTTCCCAGTTATAACAGAAGCACTCCAGCAGTTTGCTGTGTTTGAAGCATCTCTATCCTGAAGGAAACTTCAGAGGGATCCAGCTGCTGGATGATGTGATTAGTCCTTAACCCCAAGGCCTTTACTCATAACTGCTATTTTTAGGAGCCTTGTTTTAAAATGTGTTTAGGGAATTCTCTCCCAATTGGAGCCTAGGTGGTGGCCTGGCCTTGGGTCTATCTGGATGAAGAATTTGCCAACAAACCCAGATGTTTTCTGCATCAAAACTAAATTCAGGTTACTTTGACGTGACAATTTGACCCTTTATATATGACAGCTGAACCTATTTTTAGAGTAAGCTTGGGAATTATTAGCTGGAAATAATTATCCAAGCCCTCACTAAATTGAGGTTTGTCAGCTGTTTGCAGACTCTGGGATGATGGTACAGTATTTCAGAGATTCCTAATTACCTAATTTCACAATTATTATTAATTATGTGTATTATCTGAAATATTCTTAATTGTTGCATCTGACTTATTCCTGATTGCTGTCAGTTTCTTGTTCACTACGTGTATTGTTTTGCCTTGATGTTTATTCATGCTCATAACCAATGACATGCATCTCATTAAAAAAAAAAAAAAAACAGGAAGAAGGGAAATTTAGTGCCTTAAGAATATCCAAATATGTTGTGTGTACATTAGAAGTTTAGACAACAAATAATTTTGAATAGTGCAATATTTGCATTAGAAATTTGGAAAAAATATCATCAAATTTAAATCCCAATTGAGTGTGCCAGCAAAGCCTAATTGATTAATTGGCTTCAAGAGAAGCTCTGCTTGTGTTTTATCAGCAGCAGGTTCAGAGCAGTCACCTGTTCATTCCCTCAGACACCAACTGCCTCTGAGAAAATGAGGCCAAGTGGAAAGAGAAACAACCTAATCACCCTGCAGCCTTCATGGCCAGAACAGGAACAGAACTGGGACTGCCAAGACACAGCTGTGTCTGCAAACCACAGAGGCAATTTGTAAAGAAAATTTGTAAAAAAAGCCTGATCTCATCATCATGGTACAGTGTTCCTGCTACCCTTCTTCAGCTATTCCCTGTTCCAGGATCCAGGAGGACAATCAGTGATGTCAAAGATCAACATTTCCAGCTAATGGACTTTAAAACAATGGCCATTTATTTCCTTTTCCCTAAGAGATATTGGGCATTACTCTTTTGTTTGCTCATGCTGGGAAGGCCTGTGTCAATGACTTGATAGAATTTGGTTAATTTAGATGATTGTAAATGGTCTTTTATGTATCTTATCCCATATCTAATAGATAACCAGTGATAACCTTAATGATACAATACCCTCTGATGTTTTAACATCAGAACAGAGCCTTTTTTAAATTAACAAAAAGGGTGAGATGTCACGGACAGGAAGAACTATAAAATAAAGGCCCTATGAAATCAGGCCTCCCTCTGCTAAAACTGCCAAAGCTGGCCTGTCATTTCGTCTAAGTGCAGCTAACAAGCACTTTGCAAGTTCCCATGTGAAGTTAATTTGCAAATGAGGAGTTTATTTAACACAAAAATCTATTCTGCGGGCGAAAAAAACAAATGCACCTGTGTAAACAAATTAAATTTGTCCCATGAGAATACACAAAGGAAAAATGTAAACATATCTAGAGAGAGAAAATTTGATAGCTGTATACAATGTGAATGTACTGAGTTTCACTGTATTGCTGGCCAATTAGGTTTAACACAGTGCCTTCTGATATTTCCTACAAATATGAGCTTGGTGAATAAAGAATTGGTTTTCTGAATGAAGAAAATGGAGTCTGGGCTGATTTATTCCTCAGTAGAGATGCAGCAAAAGAATACAAGTCAGCAGCAATTAGGAAGGTTAAAAAAAGAAAGAGAAAAAAGAAATCCCAGCCAAATCCCCTTTCATGTGTCCAGCCTGTTTGCATTCTGGGCTAGAATAATGCTGATCTGACTCACTGCTGGCATTAATGAAGTTTGCACCTCTGGGTGAGCAATTTAATTTATCTCAGCAAGCCAAAGCTCATTATAACTGTCCATAAATGCTATCAGATGAAAGCAGCATCCTTCAGCACTCTCAGGGATTAAAGCAAGGAGGCATTCACGTGCCAAGGCTTCTGCTGGAAAGGCTGCAGTCAGAGCATGTGTGCTGGAGGCTGAGGAAGCACAGTGCCTCAGTTACTGCTGCAGATTTCCCTGTGTGGAGGCAGGATCTGAGCCTCTGAAGCACTCCTCTGGAGGGGAGCAGCTCCCTTTCCTCCCCTCTGTCTCTCCAGACATCTCTCCTCAGGGTTCATCAGGCCCAGTGGCAGCTGGAGAGAAATGGGGGCTCCATAGGTTGGTCACAGCTGGTTTCTCTCCTCCAGGGAGCAGGAGGCTCCTTGGAGAGGCACTGCAGCACGGAGGCATAAAAAGAGACAGGATGTGAGGAGGAAAACAGCTGATTGTGTCCTGCTGGATGTGGGAACCTCCTTGGCACGCACATCCTGTCCTGGGCTGGACGCAGCTCCCAGAGCTGTGCTGGCCTTGTCCTTGTCCTTGCGCTCACCTCGCTCTGGTGGAGCAGTGCAGCTCCCACGCACGGTTCCACCACTCCCCTTGTGCCAGGGCTGAGCTCCAGCACACAGCTCCAGCTGAGGGTACAGGGCAAGCCCAGCTGAGCCTTCCTGGCAGAGGTGCTCAGAGGAAACGGCTTCTTCAGCACAGGAGTGATCCCCACTGCCTTCACATTGGAAATCCTGCAGTTTTGCAATTCTGTTTCATGTGGAGGTGAGGTGGACAAGGGATAAACAGAAATAAACCCTCAAACTTTTTGTTCCTTTACCATTTAATTAAAAAATTAATTGCGTATCCTGTCACTATAAGACACAAAAAACCACGACACGATCACACTGCTGTTCTTGAGGAAACAAGGGCAGTTTATTTTCTGACTCCAACATTTATAGATTTCCAAAAGTGACAGTGGATTGGAGGGTGACAGTGCCACCTCTCCAATGACACTGGACAAACCAACAGTCCATCAAATTTCTCCTCCTCCATAAAAGAATGCAAAACAATAAGTTATTTACAGAAAGCGTGCGAGAAATTTCGTTACAAGAATGCAAACACCACAAGGCTTAGAAAAACTTAAAAAATCAGGGCAGCAATATCCCAAACACAAATTGGAGAAAAAGCAGATTTTAAAGTCTCCCTTTCTGCAGGCCCAGCACAGAGAGGAGCATCCACAGGCTGTGTGTGCCCGTGGGGCTGCAGGGAGCAGGGAAGGTCCCTGAGGGATGGGCTGGGCTCAGGGAGGGCTTTGCCTCTGCAGCCCCATGCTGTGCCATGGTGGGCTCCAGCCCCTCCTCTGCTTTTCTCTGCTCCTGTTCCTGGGCTGAGCCAGGGAAGCACCGAAGCACAGCAGTGCCAGAAGCTGCCAGGGCCCTCAGACAGCAGCAGAGGTGGTGGTGCTGCAGAGAAAGCCAGGTGTGAAAAACACCAATCACTCGGGTTTAGAATTTTAAAAGTTTAATAGTAATAAAATGGTTATAAAAATAGTAATATAGTTAGAGTAATAAAAATTTAGACAATTAGGATTTAGGACAATATGACACAATAAAAACAAAGAGTTAGGGACAGTCTGGGTACCTCTTTCTGGGCAAAATAAGCCCAAAAAA